TCACCAGGCCACCGCACAGGCCTCCTCAGGGAGGGGAAGGAGGGAGGGGAAGGAGGAGGGAGGAACGAGTTTCTATTCCCCGCCAGGTGCTTCGGGGGGGGGGTCCTCACCATAAAAGACCCGTCGCGCTTACCCCTTTTCTGCGCATGGCCGAGAGTTTGATATTTAGATACTTCCTAGATGGGGTAGGAGTACACCCTGCGAAATGCTTAAGAAATCATGGGTTAAGAAATTCATAGTCTCAGATCTTGAATAAAAACCCAACATTTCTACTGAAAACTTAGGACTTACACTGAAACGTTAAGAATAATCGAGACTCTGGCCGAAAACTTAAGTATTCTTAAGCATCGCCTAAGGTGTAGATGGGGCCAGAAAATCGCACCGCATCGTCGATGCATCGGCAACGCATCGCCGATGTTTTGGCGATGCACCGGCGACGTCGGCGATGCATCGGCGACGTCGGCGATGCATCGGCGAAGTCGGCGCGGGGGAAGTCGGACTCCACACCGAGCCGCATCGCCGATGCATCGGCGATGCGGCGCGATCCTCCGACCCCAGGAGGAGGAGGAGGAGGAGGAGGAGGAGGAGGAGGAGGAGGACGAGGCGGCGGAGGAGGAGGAGGAGGAGGAGGAGGAGGCGGAGGAGGAGGAGGAGGAGAGGGAGGCCTGTAGCGTGGACGGTTGCCGTCCGTTTCTGCGCGTAGCCGAGAGATTTGCTGTGCATGCCGCTGTTTGATCCCTGGCTGGGCAGCTCGACCTAGGTCGGGCATGTCCCCCTGCAGGCGGATTTTTGGGGGGCAGCGACAGGGGGGGAGAGGCATAGGGGGGGGGAAGCATCAACCTGGAGTCGGCGGTACATCGCCGATCAATCGGCGATGGGCCTCCGATAGTGAATCCGCACCTTCCTGGGCAGGTTGGGGCTATCGGGCTCCTATCGGCGATCAAGGGGCGATTGGGGGTCGATGCATCCCCCCCCTATGCCTATCCCCCCCCATCGTTGCTCCTGAATTTTGGAAGGAAGCGTATCAACAATCAAAAATGTAACAACATCTTCAAAAACATTGTGAAAAAGTCGTCCCAGGACTATTCTTCTACAATTCTTGACTGTTCCTCCTGTAGAGGGTCAGGCCCGACTTTAAAGCTCGACCGACCGCAGCTCGACGGTGCGACGACGGCCCGCGGCGCCGGGCCCCCTTGGCGGCCACGGCGCGCGCCGCGGCCAGGGCCACGAAGGCGGCGACCCATGCCGCGAGCCTCATGGCCCATGGGCCGAGCAGCACGGAGCCCGGGGGGCAGCGGCGGGGGCCGCCGGGCTGCGGGCCGCCCTCGAGGAGGCAGGGAGAGGGCAGGGGAGGGGAGGGGAGGGGGGGAGGGGGGGCGAGGGGCGGGGAGGGAAGGGGAGGGGGGGAGGGAAGGAGGGGAGGGAGGGAGGGGTACGGACGACCACAACCACATACCAGACAGGGGATGGGAGCATGACGGGATACGGGTATCCAACTGCATTCCGCTCCCCCCGTCTCCTCCTCCTCGTCCTCATATTTCTCCTCCTCCTCCTCCTCCTCATCCTCCTCCCTCCTCCCTTCTCCCTCCTCATTCTCCTCCTCCTCCTCCCTCCTCCCTCCTCCCTTCTCCCTCCGGTCGTTCCTCCTCCAACTCCGTCTCCTCTTCCGTCCCTTTCCTCATCCTCCCCCGTCCTCCTCCTCCTCCCCCGTCCTCCTTCTCCCCCGTCCTCCTCCTCCTCCTCCTCCTTCTCCTCTTTCTTTTCCTCTTCGTCCTCCTCCGTTTCCACTCCTCGCTTTTTGGTAACCTGGGAGCATTTATAAATTTTCGGACCGATTGAAATTTTGAAGCAGGTTTAGGAGGCCCAGGAGTTTTCGGCGATCCTGGTGGTTTGGTCTGCGGTTTCTGGGGCCCTGGGAACACTGAAAATGTTTAAAAGTTGTATCAATGTTCGGAGCGCTTGAAATTTTGCAAAAAAAAATCTAATAGTTTAAAAACTTAAGAGTTCTTTTGGGGCCCAAGGGTTTTCAGCGATCCTGGTGGTTTTGTCTGCGGCTTCTGGGGCCCTGGACACATTAAAAAAAGAGCGCTTGAAATTGTGAAACTCGAAGGGTTCTTCGGAGGCCCAGGAGTTTTCGGAGATCCTGGTGGCTTGGTCTGCGGCTTCTGAGGTCCTGGGGGTCTTTATTTTTTAAAAGAAAAAATAATGATCTTGGGGCACAGGATGTTCCGGCAATCCTCCTCCTCCTCTTCTTCATTTTGCTTGTCCCCTCTTGCTCATCCTCCTGAAGAGGGCAGGCAGCAGGGAGCGGGGAAAGAGAACGGATGGGAGGAAGGGCGAATGAGATCGGAGGGGGTAGGAGGTTGATTGGATGAGATGCTGATGAGGATGCTGATTGATGTTGATGGTGATGGTGATGCTGATTGATGCTGATTCTGGTGCTGGTGCTGGTGCTGATTGATGATGATGCGAATGATGACGCTGATGGTGGTGGTGATGGTGATGAGGACGGTTACCAATCTCTCATTCCTCAACATGTTCTCCTTCACCCTCTTTCGCTTAAAGCTTGTTTTGCAATATGTTATCCAATGATGCTGGTGATGGCGGTGATGGTAACAGTAACGATGACGATGGCGATAGCGACGACGATCAAGACGACGATGGTGATGCCGACGACGATGAGGATACTGCTCATGGCGATAATGATGGTGATGGTGACGATGACGACGACCACGACGACTGTCATGATGATAACGGTGGTGGCGAAGACGGCAATGACGACGGTTGCCAGAGTGACTCCGCAAGCAGTGCTTTGCAGCGTACTCTGTGGAACAGTGTAAATGTGAGGTAGTTGTGCCACTTATTGTTGCTCACGTTGAAACCACCTCTGGATGCCGCCAGGGACCCTCGGCAGCTTATCAGGAGCCTTCTGGTTTCCTGGGGATTGGTCCAGAGTCTTCTGGGCCCCCCCAGACGGCTGGGACACGAATCGACTTATTAGCCTAGCAAGGCTTCCTGATGCCACAGTTCCTGAGGCCACAGCCTCCCTAAAACGGCAATGGGTTTTAGAGGGATGGGTCCCCCTAGAACTGAAAAAGGATTTCCGGGGTACCGGTCCCGCTAAAACGGGATTTGATATTAAGGGGACCGGTCCTGGTCCCCCTAAAACGGGATTGGACTTTAGGGCGACCGGTCCCCCTAACATTAAAAGGGATTTTAGGGGGAATGGTCACCCTAAAACTGGAGGGGATTTTAGGGGGACCCGCCGCCTTAAAACGGTAGGACTTTCCTTGGAATGCAAATAGGATTTTAGAGAGACCGCCCGAAATGTGGAAAGACCCTTTTAAATTCAGATGCGATTTTAAGGAAACCCGTCTCCCGAAAGCAGAAACAGGGCTTCCTGGAGTTTCTTGGGGCCACCTCGGAGCCTCTCGGGGCCCAGGGCTCGAAATGTATGTTCGGCCCCCCCTCCGTCTGGGCAAACTCTTGGAGTCGGTTTGGAAGGCTTCTTGGGTTGTCTTGGAGCCTTCTTGCCCATCTTGGGCACTTAATAGGAATAGTTGCATAATAATGCTTTGCGTTTCAAAATGCCACCTCATCTAAAAGTGTCGCTTTGAACGCAGAGCCCAGCATGAAATGCAATTGCATTCATCAAGCTGTATATGATGGTACATGTTGCTCAAGTTGTTAAGACTTTCTTGACCAAGGCCCTTCGTATGCCGTCCCTGCTCCAGCGATGAAGCGGCCTGCTGCCGCCCCGCCTGCTGCTGAACCCGCGTCGCCTGCTGCTGAAGGCATCAAGCCGTCGTGGCAAAGGGGGGGGCCTAGGTCCAAACGGCGCGGCAACGATGAGTTGAGGACGTCCTACAGATACGATTCCGTGTTATATTTACCTATGTAATAGTTAAAGTATGATGTAGTAATACATGTACATGTCTATATACAAGATTGAAGTAAGTACCGCATTCGTATGTACAAACTAAAACAGGTACTAGTTCGTATTGTATTTACGTATGCAATAGTTATATTATGATGCAAGCATATGTGTATACACAAGTGTATATATATATACACAAACCTACGTAGTACCGTGTATATGTAAGTCCCATATATATGTGTATGCATCACTATACACACATATACATATGTATATGTGTGTATGTGCTAATGTATACAATGTACAGGTATATGCATCACTATATGTATGAATATGTGTTAATGTATACTTGTATGTGTACACATGAATAATAAGACGAATTTAGCTTACACCAACAGTGTTCCTACACATGGGAAACTTACTGGATGTAGTTTACAAAGCACAGCGTCGACTGTGTATAACATGTTATACATATATGTGTGGTTACTACACATACATGTGCATATATTCTCTACGGGCCTCAGCAGGTGCCGGGGTGTCCCTGGAGGCCGCATGAGGCAACGATATGTTCCAGTAGGTCCAGGCACCGCAACGTCCTAGCAAACATTTGGGGGGTCACCAGGGGAAACCCCGAATCCCAAGGGGGCCCTAGGAGGCCATTGACCGTTCCAAGAGGAAGTGCGGGGAGGCCCCAGGGCACCTCAGGAAACCCCAGGATGTTTCAGGAGATGCTAAGGAACCACAAGAGACCCCAGCTTCTCAGGACCCCCGGGAGGCCCCAGGACCCTCCTGGAAGGTTTAAAACGCCCAGGAAGCCCCAGGAGGCGGCGCGGCACCCCGCAGGAAACCTTCGGAGGTTCGAGGAGGCCGCGTGTGGCATGTGGTTCTGGCGGTGACAACGCCCGGCGGTGGTCCAGAATCCCCCCAAAAAGTCACCACGTGGTTTTGGGATCCGGGTAGTGTTTGGAGGATGCGTCGAGCGGCGGTGACCCCAGGACTCACGAAACCCGCTGATGACCCTGTGTACCAAAACCTGGGGGTGACATTCTGAGGATTTGGGGTCGCCGCCGGATGTCTGACCACTGGGTTTGAGGACGGCCAAATCACGGGTGTGAAATGCACTGTGGGATTCCACCGAGGGTGCGAAACCATTCGCGCTTCACGCTTGCGGTTCGGCTCCGACTCTTCTCATTATCTTTTTTTCACCCCCGGAGGCGTCGCGAGAATGCGAGGCGCGAAGTGTTTCGCGCTTCGCGCTTCGCGGATCATGGAGAGCGAAGATAGGAGGATTAGGCCAGTTGTGACCAGATTGGCGGCGAGCGCAGGGGAAAATGGGAAGGAGGAGGTCTTCTCAGAAGGCTAAATCCTCCGGCCTTCTGAACAGTTGTCTAAGCCTTTTTGTTCCGAGGGTGCAGAGATACTCTCAGAAGGCTGGATGTCTTCTGAGAAGCCCCGCCGCCTTCTGATTCTCCTCCTCACTTCCCCCCTCGCTCGCCGCCATACGAATGTACTGGTGCCGATGCGGTATTCCAACAACTCCCAGGAGTTGCATCCTAAACGGAGGGAGGGAGGGAGGACCCGAACTTCTCAGCGCCCTGTGTAATCTATGGGCTTCTGCAGCCGCTTCTGGGTGCCAGAGGGGGTCTCCAAACCCAGGGGGAGGGATGAGGAGGGATGAGGAGTGGGAGGGGGAGGAGGTGGGGAAGGAGGAGGAAGAGGCAGAAATTGGAGGGGATCGAGCTGGACCACATTGGCCTCCATCCTCCTTCCTCCTTCATTCCTCCTTCCTTGCTCCTCCTCCTCCTCGTTCCCCTCGCCCCTTGCGCGCGGGGTAGAATATAGGGAGGGACTGGACGAAGGGATGGAATGGAGGCGAGAAGCGCAGAGGCGCAGGAGGAGGATGAAGACGAGGGGATGTAAAAAAGGAGCCTGATGAACAAGGATGGAGACAGGCATGCGAAGAGGAAGAAGAATAAGAAGAATAAGAAGAAGAAGAAGAAGAAGAAGAAGAAGAAGCAAGACGGCGCTCCAAGAGAGCGAGCCGAGAGCACGAGCGACATCGCGGCGGAGGCGGGAGGAGGAGGAAGGGCACAGATAGGGGGGAGGTCGTGGGCGGGAAAAACGTCGCCCACGGCCCGGTGGGCACGGGACGCTCTTGCGCGGCTGCCCCGCGCGGACCGCACACCCGCGGGAGCGCGAGCTTACCCGTGGGACCACGCCCCGGCGCTCCCACCGCGGGTGAGGCGTGGACTCGGACGGGCTCGTCGCCCGCGAGGGGCGAGGGACAGGCGAGGAGGAGTGACGGCAGCAGCAGGGAGGAACGGAGGAGGACGAGGGAGGAGGAGGAGGAGGAGGAGGAGGACGAAGAAGGAGGAGGACGAGGAAGGACGAGGGGGAGCAGGAGGACGAGGGAGGAGGGCAAGGACGGAGGAGGACGAGGGAGGAGGAGGCGAGGAGGAGGAGGAGGAGGAGGAGGAGGAGGAGGAGGAGGAGGAGGAGGAGGAGGCGCATGGAGGAGGAGGAGGAGGAGGAGGAGGAGGAGGAGGAGGAGGAGGAGGAGGAGGAGGAGGAGGAGGAGGGGGGGGAGGAGGAGGATGAGGAGGAGGAGGAGGAGGAGGAGGAGGAGGAGGAAGAGGAGGAGGAGGAAGAGGAGGACGAGACGGAGCGCCAGCCATCAGCAAGAGCGCCGGGCCGGCGAACGCAGAGGGGAGGAGGACGGCGAGGAACAACAGGCATCGGCATCGCCACCATCGCCGGCGGGCCAGGAAGGCCCTCCTGTCCTAGTGGTGTGATCCCCCTCTCCTGCGGCGCTCGGCCCGGCACTTCTCCAGTCCCCAGCTCGTGAAGGCATCGTGGACCACCTCGCTGGAGGTGGCCCGCTGGTGGGGGTGGTGCCGCTTCTCCTCCTTCCGAGGGTACCCGATTGGCCAAGAGCTGCACAAGCGTAACGTGTCGACGGTCCGAGCCGATCTCTTGGGTCGGTGCAGAGCGCGCTGGGCACCAGCGGCATCCAGGCGCCGCCAGGGGAGTCGGAAGCAGCCACCGTGGTACCATGAGAAACGCTGAACACAGTAGGGGCTCGACCACGAGAAACCTTCCACGAGAAACAAAACCCTGAGACCCCAGGACGTTCACGGATGTTTTGTGTGGGAACGTCACGAATTCCATCGCAAAACAATCCGAACCCAAGAACCCCAGGGCACATGAGCGTTTCTTGCTGGGCGTTTCGACATTGGGCGGAAGGAGAAGGGAGGGGGGGATCAGGCTCGGGACCTCTGCTTAGCGCGACTGTTTGCAGCACTGGGTCCCATGAGGGGAGACTCCACCTGCTTGAAACAGGCGCCCAAAACAGCCAATATCTACTCCATGAGGTAGGGGAGCGGGGGTTGGGGGGCCCGCGCCGATCGGCAAAACAATGAATACAAAAAACGATCACCACCCTGGAGTCGAGCAGGGTGTTTCTTGGCATGGGTCTCCACCGCAAGGAACGAAAGGGGCTTTTTTGGCCATGGTGAGCCTCGGCTTCGAACAGGTCCCCGACCTAGGTCTATGTCGGGCGTGTCCCCCTGTCCCCCTACAGGGAAATTTTGGGCGAAAAATAAAAACAGTCCAAACATACAGAAAGAAAATGCTCCCGAATACACAAAAAATAGTCCCCAGATCATGTTTGATTATTTTTGGGTATTCCCACTGTAGAGGGACGTGCCCGACTCAAACCTAGGTGTGAGGAGCGGCCCGAAAGTCAGAGGAGCCCCTCCAAACATAAACCGAGGCGGCCCTTCTTCCAGCATCGTGGCCGTAGGGGGCTCGGCGCTGTCTTTCGAAAACTGCGCATGTCGCATGCTGCACACATCCGGCTACTCTCAGGATACCGCGCGCGAGCACACGCGAGGCCATCGGGCGCCTCTGCTGGTGGCGGTCTGCCTCGCGCGGCGTGGCCAAGCGGACGCGGCGGCCGCGCTGAGACACCGGACTGGCAGAAGGAAACCGGCCGAGGTGCGAAGAACATCGTCGAGACATGCAACGACAACTGTGGCCACATGATACTCCCGGGAAGCACAACCCGTCGGCCCCCACGACCGCGTTGTAGTCCGGAGACACGGTGATCACGTTGAAGGTGCGCCCCACGATCCCGTGCTCCTCCACCCAGCAGCACCCAAACAGAGACGGGCCATGTCAAGCTCACGATCCCTTTATCGTGCATTCGCCAACCAACTACCGCGCGCGGCCAAACATGAATGGACGAGTGCGCGCGCACTACATTCATCAAACCGTTTTGTCATACAGGCGGGAACGCGCACAGGTGCGACCGCGCGGTTGGAAATGCCACTGCGCACTTGCACCGCGCGGGCGCGCACACGGCATACAGATCCACCACCGCGCTTGCGAGCGGCTAGCCTGTGTGCCAGGCGCTGGCACTCTTCGTCTCTACCGCCCCTCGCGGAACACCAGTCAGGCCCGCCCCCTGCGACGCATCGAGCCCAACATGCAGCAGTTCCACTGGCAGGGACCATGCGGTCGCTGCCTGCTCCCTTAACGAAAAATGATCCCAGTGCGACCCTACCTAGGAGTTGGAGCATTTAGGAAAGCAACATCTACATCTACACCGACAGCTACATTTACATCTACACCTGCATCTACATCTACATCAACATCAACAGCGAGACTCAAATATACATCTACATCTACACCTACATCTACACCTACATCAACATATACACCTACATCAACATCTAAACCTACACCTACATCCACATCTACATCTACACTTGCGGATTGGTGTTGATGTTGCTTTGCATTGCCTTACCGCAAAGTTATCATATGATTTGCTATGCCTTGCTTTGCTACGCACTTGCCTTACTCCTATGCTATGCAATGCTATGCCATGATTTGTTATGCTTTGCTATGACTCGCTATGCTTTGCTATGCTGCGCTATACTATGCGATGCTATGCTAGAGTACGCTCGACTGCGCTGTGGTATGCTAGGCTATGCTATGCTATGCTATGCTGCGCTATGCTATGCTAGGCTATGCTATGCTATGCTCTGCTGCGCTATGTTATGCTATGATATTCTGCGCTATGCTATGATATGATATACTGTGCCATGCTATGCTATACTGCGATTTGCTATGTTATGACATGCTGTGTTGCGCGATGCTATGATATGATATGCTATGCTGTGTTGTGCTATATCATGCTATGCTGCGCTGTGCTACGCTAAGCAATGCTATGTTATGCTATGGTATGCTATGATGCGCTATGCTATGCTATGAAATGCTATGCTATGATATGATATGATATGTATGGTTATGGTATGCCATGACATGCTGTGCTAATGCTGCGCTGCGCTATGCTGCGCTAAGCTGCGCTAAGCTAGGCACGATGCTAAGCTAAGCTCAGCTAAGCAAAGCCAAGCCAAGCTAAGCTAAGCTAAGCGAAGCTTATATGATAGACGCTAAGCTGAGCTAAGCTAGGGTAGGCAAAGCTGAGCCAAGCTAAGCAAAGCTAAGATGATATAAGCTAAGCTAAGCTAAGCTAAGCTAAGCTTAATGGATACTGGGGGAGCCGAGGGGCGGATCCTGGGGGAACCGCGGGGCGGATGCCGGGGGAACCGCCCTGGCCGTTTTACACTGCCCGGCCCTTTAAGCAAACACAGTAAGAACCCTTCTAGGCAGAGCCTAGGTAAGGAATGAGTATCTTTCAACCGATCCCCCATCCCCGGCGGCGTGGCCTGGGCCCCGCTGGCGGACTTCCCCGCCCAGATGGGGCTATGGGTCCTTCTCTTCGGGCTTCGGGGGGTGTACCCCAAACTGGGGTGGTAACTCGTTGGGGACCTCGAAAGGGACGGAGATGGGGATGGGGATCGTTTAAACGGTACCGAGAGAAGTCTCGACAACTCCGAGCTCAGGGTACATGCTCCAACGACCCTGCCCTGCCAGGGAGAGCTGGGCCGCTCCCCCTCCGCCCCCCCAGAGGATGGCAAGAGAGGCGGGGGGCGCGAGTCGTGGCCGGCGGCACGTGCCCGGCCCAGCGGGGGGGGGGGCTGGGGACGCGGCGAAATAAGAAGCGGCGCCATTACATCTGGGGAGATATCATGGCCCGAGGAGGAAGAGGAGGGGGGGAACGAGGAGGAGGAGGAGGAGGAGGAGGAGGCGGAGGAGGGGGAGGAGGAGGAGGCGGAGGAGGGGGAGGAGGCGGAGGCGGAGGAGGAGGAGGAGGAGGAGGCAGAAGAGGAGGAGGAGGAGGAGGCGGAGGAGGAAGGAGGAAGGAGGAAGCGCGCCATGATACCCACCCCCCAACTAGTCATCACCCCCCTCCCGGCCGCCCCCGAGGCCTCCAAGGCGGCCAAGACGGCCCCCAAGGCGGGCAACACTGCCCCGCATGGCCTCCACGAGAACGCAAACTATGGCGCGAGCAGTTGGAGGCCGCTATAGTTTCGGCGGCCGAGGGCGCAACATATGGCGCAATAGAAGGCCGATATATTGTCGACGGCCGAGGGCGCAAACTATCTGACAATCAACAGGAAGCAGATTTGCTTTCAATGGCTATTCCCTGCGGCCGAGAGCACAACCAATGGCGCAACCAATCGGAGGGCGCAAACTATGGCGCAACCAATGGGAGGCTGTTTTATTATTGGCGGCCGGCGGCGCAACCTATGGCGCAACCTATGGCGTAACCAGTACGAGGCCATCTTATGTTTGGTAACTGCGCGCATATTATTTGGACGCCCGAAATGGGTACGTAAAACATTTGTACAATGCCGAACATCAAATGTTGTCCAAAATTTATGGCGGTCGCTGTTGGGCGGGCGGCCTTCTGTCTCAAATGAACACAGGCCACGGCGATACCGACAGTGAGTCCTGTTCAAAATGAACAGAAACTGCTGTCGGTCTTTGTACCCAATCTTTCCGTACCCATTTCGATCGTCCCGAAAATATGGTGCAATCAGCAGCAGCGACAACATTCGCTACCGCGAGGTTGTTTTCGTTGGGCACTACATTGGGCAGCGAGCGGGTTGGCCAACGATGCCGACTGACGTCCTCGAGGGGAAGCCGCCTTGCGCCGCCTATGCGACTGAGCAAATGTCCGCTTTCACTTTTCCGTACCCTGGGATGCACAGAGACATACTAATACTATGTGTCCGCCTTGGAGGCGCGCGTCCGACCCGAACATATAGTATACCCATCTTGTAGTATATCGTTTCTCGAGCGGTGTGGCCAGAAAGCGCCCGCCACGACGCAAATACTATAAGATTTCTCGGTTCGCGCGTCGCCCCCGGGGGGGCGACGAACACATAGTATAAGTATGTTGGGGGGACGCCGATACCCGTCTCCTCGATCACTTTGCTCTCCTGTCCACCAAAGGCTTGCGCCAATCCGCCGGCATCTACTCGACAGAGTCCGTCACACGCTCTGGGGTTGTTCCGCTCTCTCGAACCACGAGCGGGCGAGCGCGCGGAGGAGGCAAGTGCGAGGAGGAGGAGGAGGAGAAGGAGGATGACCACGGGGAGGAGTAGGAGGGTCGCAAGGAGGAGGACGAGGAAGAGGACGAGGACGACGTGGAGGGGCTCAGACTGGCTGAACGCGAGACTGCGTACGGGGCTGCGCCCGAAATATGCTCGCCGTCTGGGCTTGTGGTGGGGCCCAAGCGGCGAGCTGTCTTGTGATTGATGCTCCTCAGCTGTTTGAAGGGCTTGAACGTTGGCGCCCCGTCGGGCTTCCCAACCTCTGAGATGGACCAGGAGTTTTCAAAGATGGCCCCGATAATTGCCGGCCATGAGGCCGCAAGGGGCCCCCAGAAGGGCCCCAAAACGGCGCAAGCGGGTCCCGAGATGGCCCCAAGAGGGCTCCAAGATATGGCCCCGAGGGGACCCCCAAACAGTCCAAGAAACCTCCCAGGCGGCGCTCAACCGCCCAACGGGTCACTGCACCGACCTTGCAGACGTGCTACAGCGGATTTGTGCGTGCATTCCTGCCAATGCAAAGCCCCGAAACGGCGAGCGAAAAACGAAGTGAACTTCACGTGGATTGCTTGTTCCCCCCATGTTTCGTGGGGTTATGGTTTTCTTCCCTGCCGCGGCGCACCCGCGTCTCCTCACCTCCCCTCCTCCCTCTTCTTCATCTCCTCACCCGCGTTCAACACATGCACGGCAAGTACATGACACACGCGTCTACATACAGCCGCACGCATGCACACATTCGCACACAACACACACACACACACCATACAACGCTAGTGCGCGCCTGGCGTGTTCACTGAAGCGTCCATTGAGGCATGTGCGCCACATAGTTGGCACACACATGAGACACGTCCCGATATGGCCGCACACGCATCATACACATACAAAAAACATGCCATATACAAGACGTGCGTGTACGATTCGCAGGGGATGGAAGGAGGGGGGAGCGCACGGGGTGGTCCCTGAGCGCGGCCGTTATGCACGACCGTCGTCCAGGCACAGCAGGCGTGGCACGTTCTCGGCACCAGAGCGGGTGTGCAGGGGGGGGTCCCTGAGCTCGGCCGCTATGCACGACGGTCGTCCAGGCACAGCAGGCGTGGCACTTTCTCGACACCAGAGAGGGTACGCGGGGGGTGGTCCCTGAGCTCGGCCGCTATGCACGACGGTCGTCCAGGCACAGCAGGCGTGGCACTTTCTCGACACCATAGGGGGTGCGCAGGGGGTGGTCCCTGAACGCGGACGCTATGCACGACGGTCGTCCAAGCATCGCAGGCGTGGCACTTTCTCGATACCGGAGGGGGTGCGCAGGGGGTGATCCTTGAGCTCGGCTGCTATGCACGAGGGTCGTCCAGGCACAGCAGGCGTGGCACTTTCTCGACACCACAGGGGGTGCGCAGAGGGGTGGTCCCTGAGCCCGGCCGCTATGCACGACTGTCGCCCAGGCACAGCAGGCTTGGCACTTTCTCGACACCACAGGGGGTGCGCAGGGGGTGGTCCCTGAGCGCGGACGCTATGCACGACGGTCGTCAAGGTACAGCAGGCGTGGCACTTTCTCGACACCAGAGGGGGTGCGCAGGGGGTTGTCCCTGAGCTCGGCCGCTATGCACGACGGTCGTCCAGGCATTGCAGGGCGTGGCACTTTCTCGACACCAGGGGTGGTCCCTGAGGGGCTGTGCACGACGGTCGTCCAGGCACAGCAGGCGTGGCACTTTCTCGACACCAGAAGGGGTGCGCAGAGGGGTGAGTCCCTGAGCGCGGGCGCTATGCACGACGGTCGTCCAGGCATAGCAGGCGTGGCACTTTCTCGACACCACAGGGGGTGCGCAGGGGGTGGTCCCTGAGCTCGGCTGCTGTGCACGACGGTCGTCCAGGCACAGCAGGCGTGGCACTTTCTTGACACCAGAGGGGGTGCGCAGGGGGTGGTCCCTGAGCTCGGCCGCTATGCACGACGGTCGTCCAGGCATAGCAGGCGTGGCACCTTCTCGACACCAGAGAGGGTGCGCAAGGGGTGGTCCCTGAGCGCGGCCGCTATGCACGACGGTCGTCCAGGCATAGCAGGCGTGGCATTTTCTCGACACCATAGGGGGTGCGCAGGGGGGGGGGCCCTGAGCTCGGCCGCTATGCGCGACGGTCGTCCAGGCATTGCAGGCGTGGCACTTTCTCGACACCAGAGGGGATGCGCAAGGGGTGGTCTCTCACCGCGGCCGCTATGCACGACGGTCGTCCGGGTATAGCAAGCGTGGCACTTTCTCGACACCAGAGGGGGTGCGCAGGGGGTGGTCCCTGAGCGCGGCCGCTATGCACGACGGTCGTCCAGGCACAGCAGGCGTGGCACTTTCTCGACACCAGAAGGGGTGCGCATGGGGTGGTCCCTGAGCTCGTCCGCTACGCACGACGGTCGTCCAGGCATCGCAGGCGTGGCACTTTCTCGACACCATAGGGGGTGCGCAGGGGGGTGGTCCCTGAGCGCTGCCGCTATGCACGAGGGTCGTCCAGGCACAGCAGGCGTGGCACTTTCTCGACACCAGAGGGGGTGCGCACGGGGTGGTCCCTGAGGGCGGCCGCTATATGTGACGGTCGTCCTTGCGGTATCGGCGGGGCAACGGCCACCAACATCATTCTCACGTGCTTCACTTCAGCTACCATCACCCCAGCCATGCTATAAGTACGTGGGGTTCCTCGGTAGCGTAATTCGTCTTCCTTCCTGGCCAAAACGTCCGCGCGACATTCACTTTGACCTCCGGAGCGTCATTCTCCAGGACTCGCCGGGCTCATCCTATCGTTTTCCAAACGAAATCCGCTCTGCGATGGTGGCGCCATGACAAGCGGAGGCCCTCAGACGGCCGAAAACCCCGAGACAGCCCCCGAATGCGTCAGGCGAACCAGCGGCGCCCTAAGACGGCCCGCGGGGCCCCGCGAGCGACCCCAGGGGGACCTCCCGACTGCGTCGAGTGGGAGGGTGAGTGCGAAATCCTCGTCGACCGTGGTTGATTTCCTAGGAAAAATAAACCGAGGTTCGTTGTTGAGATGGTACTTCATCTGGATTATCTTATGACGGAGTGGTCGGTCCCCCCCCCAGCTGCATTATTATCTTTGCAGAATGAAGACCCAGGTGAATTATCCCAGGAAAATAAAGCGTGGCTGATGTTCTCCCGGTGAGGCGCCAGGGTTCGGGGGAAATGGAAGCGGAAAGTAAGAAATAGTAAACCAAATCGACCCCCCCCGCTAGATTATTTTCATTCTGGAATTATGCACCCAAATGTATAATGTCCCGGTAAGAAATAGTCAACCAAATAGACCCCCCCCGGGCTCGATTATTACACCACTCCAGAACAATCAACCCAAGATTATAATGTCCAGGGAATAACAAACCAGGGTCAATATTTGAACATAACAATTCTCACCCTGGTGATGGGGGTGTTGGGGGGAAACAAGTATCAGTAGCATTCCAACATTAAAAAATATTGTCTTGGGGTTCCAGAGCTGGAGCCCCGAAATCATGAACATTACGAATCCCGGCAAATATTCCCGGCATATTGTAAACCCAGATTTACAATGTTCAAGGGGGAACATTATGAACCCCAGTTCATGTTCCGGGAACGTTATAACCCCAGGCGAAAATCGATTCGGGGTCCATCCTGTCGAATGGAGGAGGAGGAGGAGGAGGAGGAAGAGGAGGAGGAGGAGGAGAAGGAGGAGGAGAGGAGGAGGAGAAGGAGGAGGAGGAGGAGGATGAGGGAGGAGGACCCCCCCCCCCCCACGGTCGCCCGAGCGCGGCGGGGGAGGGAATCCCCACTCCAACGCAAGCGGATAGTCTTCCCTCCGCGCATAAGTGCGCCCTTTTAAGTGTGGAGCGTACGCGACTCTGACGCCATGACGAACAAGACACACCACCCCAACAACGGCGCTCAGCACCAGCGTGGATGTTTGCGTGTATGCGTGCATGTTGGCAGGCATGCATGTACGGATCGAGTAATGTATGCATGCATGCATGATGTATTCATGTGTATATCTGTATATATGTATATATATATACACACATGTACAAAAGCCACGTGCGCACGCATCTGTCGGCGTACATTATATGAACAGACGCGCCTCGTGCGAAAACGGGCACAATGGTGCAGCTGGATATTTTTGATCCGCGGGTCGAGAGCGAGCCTCTTCCGGTCGAAGCTAAGCGGGCCGCGCACAGCTTTAATTGACAGAGGGGGAAGGCAGAAGGCGGGGCCTCACGTCAAGGCCAAGAGTGGGCAAAGCCCCGGGATAAGGCTGTGCCGAAAGCGAAGTGCATGCAAAGGAACGCCTTGGACAGGAACCCGGAGGCGAAGTACCGGGAGGCGAAAAGCTGGTGGTGGAGTGGTGCAGCTGGACATGCCTGAACAAATCTGCGTATGCTCTGCGTCCCCAGCCATGCGTCGCTTCAAATTGTTCCCGCCTCGGGCCTCGGGACCCTATAACGACCCCTTCCTGCGGCCCGATGTGCTATCCAAATGCTTTTGTGTTTTCGTCCCGCGGAATATCAACGGCCCCATCGTGGTCGTCGTCGTCGTCGTGGTGGTCGTCGTCGTCGTCCGTCATCGACACCTGTCGTCGTCGTCCGTCGTCGTCGCCTGTCGTCCTCCGTTGTCCTTCGTCGTCGTCGTCGTCCGCCGTCGTCCGTCGTCCTTCAACGTCTCCCGTTGTCGTCGTTGCCGGCGTCCGTCGTCGTCGCCATCGTTCGTCGTCGTGCATCCTCGTCGTCCTTGTCATCGGCGTCAACGTCGCTGTCGTCCGTCGTCCTTCGACATCTTCCACTGTCGTCATTGCCGGCATCCGTCGTCGTCGCCATCGTTCGTCGTCGTCCATCCTCGTCCTCCTTGTCATCGTCGTCAACGTCGTCGTCGGCGTCATGAATCCGTCAACGTCGTCGTCGTCGTCGTAAATCTGTCGTCGTCACCATTCCGTCGTCAAAGTCTTCGGCATCATCGGTCGTCGTCCATTCGTCGTCGTTAGCCCGTCGGAATCGTTATCCGCCGTAATCCGTCTTCGTCCGTCGTCGTCGTCCCTCCGCCGGGCCTCGGGGTTCCTCAGGACGTCCAGCACGTCGGCATGGATTGCGCCCACGGGCGCGTTGGCCACCTGCGTGCAGGTGGCAGGGGGCAGGGAGCTCGACTCCCGCGGCGAGGCGAGAGGATTCATTGCGCCGCCCGAACCTATGGCCATGTCTCCCCTCCCGCTGGGTCGTGCCCCGAGGGCTCGGGGCGCGGCGGATACGGAGATGTGGGCATCTGCCCGCCGACGCGGGCGGGCCGATGTCCACATCCAGCGCTCACCAGCCTGGAACATATCCCTATCCCTATGCAGGGCACCTCCTCGTCACGATGCCAAGCTTAGGGGTGCCCTTCTTTTTGCTTGAGGGCGAATCCCTGAGATTGTCATCGCCTTTTGGCGTGCCAGTCTCAGGGAGAGGGACGCGTTCGAGGCTGGCACAGCGCTCCTCGACAGCTCAGGGCACGACTCCTACGAAGGCGGTAGACGCGGCCATGCTCTGGCAGTGGCTCTCTATCCACCGCCTCCGCCCGCGGGGGGTCGAGCCGCGGGGGCCTTCCAAAAGGAGGCGGCGGACATGGACGCACCGGAGCGACGACTCACTGGCTGACATGGACGCACCAGAGCGACGACTCACTGGCTGCCAGCCTCGAACGTGTCCCTATCCCTAAGGTTGACACGCCAAAAGTCGACGACAGTCTTAGGGATGCGCCCTCAGAAACGGAGGGAGAATCCCTAGGATCGGCATCGAGATGAGGCGATGCAAATCAGAGGGACAGGGACATGTTCCAGGCTGGTGAACTGGAGCGAGACACGAGATGGCGTGGCGACCTTGCGCAGCAGCTCACGCTGGAGACGAGTGCGCCTCCGCGCGACCCTGCGCGAGCAGCTCGCGCGCGCATGCCAGCGCAGTGGAGGCGAAGCGGGGGGCTATTCATATCCACCGTCTGGGAACCGACGTCCTGCTGCCCCAGCTGGCAGTGGTTCTCGATCTATTTCGGCCCCCGGGGAACCGAATATGTCCATATCCACCGCCTGCCAAGGCTCCGAAAACTGACCCGCCAAGCGGTGGTCATGTATAAATGTCCGCCTCGGAGTGGAACCCCCCATTATACTCCGTCGCTCGCCGAGGCCTCCCCGGGGCCCGACAGCAGATCCATACAGATCTACCTCCTGCCGAGAGCCCCGAAGACCGATGCGCCTGGACGGTCCAAGGTCACGCTCAGGGCGATGGCTGGTCGACGGTGGTGCTGCTGAGGGCCATGTGGGTTCGCGATGATGCTGGGAATATCGTTGGGTGGCACCGAACTCGCGCTGAACAAACCGTCGGAAATCACGGACCACACTTTCCTGCAGAGGTGAGCCACAGCCGGTCCAGCGCCACGCTCGGGGCGATGTCGGTTGACAGTGATGCTGGGAATCTGGAGTTTGCGATCCAAGGCCACGCTCAGGGCGATGTTGGTTGACGGTGATGCTGGGAATTCATCGACCTGACCTGAGGAACGATACATAAGGAACGAAACCCCGATTTTTCCAAGAAGTGACTCACAAGGAGATATACATAATACATAACGCATAGGGAACGATAAGTAACACTTGCAAACCTGAGGAACGACGGAGCCCCTCTTGAAAAGGACGTGTTTCTTAGTCAAGCCGCTCGCAATATCTTTAGGCGACACCGGACTCGCGCAGAACAAGCAGTAGGAAATCACGGGCCAGACTTTCCGACATAGTCAAGCCACAACCTCGGACTCGCGCAGCTGGACGCCCCGTTCACGAGGGGGAAGAGTAGGAAGAGGAGGAAGAGGAGGAAGAGTAGGAAGAGGAGGAAGAGGCAGGAGGAAGAGGAGGAAGAGGGGGAAGAGTAGGAAGAGGAGGAAGAGGAAGAGGAGGAAGAGGCAGGAGGCAGGAGGACTCGGGAAGAGAAGGGCTCGACCCTCGCGCGGCAGGGAGTCTTTTTCGGCGACGGGGGGGGAAGCAGAAGGGACGAGGCAGGAGGATGAGGGAGAGGGATGGAGGACGGAGGAGGAAGGAGAAAGAATCGAAGAGGGAGGATGAGAGAGGATGAGGGAGGAAGAGGGAGGCAGAAAGAGGCAGCCGCGTTGAGAGGCCACTCGTTGTGCGGCCTGTGCGACTTTCACCTCAGGCGTGTTGTACACGGAACGATTGTCAACTCTCGCGACGCTAGTCGGGTGCTTGCCGCTGAGCAGACGGTTGAGCGTCCACTCCGCCTCCGTTGCTTGGAGAGGATGTGCCTGGGCACGAGCCGCGTGGTCTGCGAAAAACAGATTGCGTATAGCGAACATTACTCACGAACAGACAATGCCGGCCCTGAAATCTCCGCGACGGCCACGGCATTGGCTTCGCGGGTGCGCTCCAATCCCCGGCGAAAAGCGGAAAAGGGCGACTTGCAACACGCACACACAACATACACAACACACACACTCACATGCTACCTCGTCTCGGCCGCCTCTGGCCATCTGGCACAAAGCGAGGGCCGAATTTCATCGAAACGAACGGGGCCCAGACCTGGACCCAATGGTGCAAAACTAAACAGGCTTGTGATCTACGAGACGTCACGTTTCGCTTGACCGCCGATGCTCCTGGCCAAACGCCGGCAGCCGCAGCGAGCTGGGGAGCAGGTTCGGCAACAGGCTTGGCTATGCGGATACCCTGCTTGAGATCAGCGAGCGCCTCGTGGTCAGAGCTTGGGTGACAGTCGGGGCGTGGCGTAGCACTGGTGCTGAGCTGAGCGTTGAATGTGTCCTCTCCCGTGCGAGTGAATCCATGCAGGCGGCTCTTGGGGGCATCGCACAGACAACACTGTCTGCAACAAGGACAAGCGCATGGAGCCCCGAGTTCTTCGGCTGCCCGCTGGGCCATGATGCACGCTGCACTCTGACCCAGCACGGGCTTGCGATCAACCCGGGCCTCAGCAGATCTCGTTGGGGCATCCCTGGGCACAAAGAATCTCAGAGGTTCCCATCTGACCCCCGGTTTACGTTTTCTGTTGGCAATGTTAAATCGGGCCTGTCCTGCTACAGGGGGAATTTGGACGACAAATAAAAAAACACACAAGCCATACACCACATTTTCAAAAAAAAAAAAAAATCGTCCCACTATGGTTTTTTGCTATTTTTGAACGTTCCCCCTGTAGAGGGACACACCCAACTTAATGGCAATGGTGGAGCTGGCAGGCCCGCAAATAACACGGAGCAGGGTGGCCCACGGAGCCGTGCGAAACGCCACCACCACCCACGATGCGCTGCTCCACTCTGGTGTGCCTGCTCTGGTGCACGAGCCGTCCCTGCCTGCCAGACCTCCCAGCTCGTGGCTCGAATCGTCCTGCCCCCGCCTGGCAGTGGGGCCCTCGGGCGGAGGGAGCTCTCTTGTGCTGGTCACCCGGGTCGTCGAAGACTCGACGGCTCCGGAGCAGAACGAGGCATTATCATCTGGCGAGTCCAAGGCCATCTCGCGGGCATCATCAGACAAGCATTCGGTCCTCAGGGCAGCCACATCAGGGCACTGGCAACGATACAATACGTGGCAGCTGGCTTCCACTTCTCCACGTACCAAACACACTTGTAACTGTCTATCCCCAACGGCGCGCGACTTCGAAGCCAGCTCGTCTCAAGGGGTGTGCATCGAGTATGTACTTGGCTGCTTTTAGTTCGATGGCCCCACCGACATGATCCTTAAGCTCAAGCGTGGAAGCTTACAACCGCGGTATGCAGGGCAGGGCGTGCGCAACTGCACTGAAGGCCCCCAGAACGGACGAGTACCGAATGGCTCCAACTGGTTGATCACCTGTGTAGATGGACTTACGCTGTAGGACCCCAGTGCTGCCCAGCGTCTGGTGGCATGGGCCCGAGGGCGTATCTGTGGGCACTACACCCCGTGACCGCAAGAGCAGCACTCTGTGACCTCCGAACTGAGCATGGCATGATGATCTGGGCAACCTCGGGGCCGCGTGGTCTGCCCACGGACCTGTAACGAAGCCGATCTGATGGGCATGTTTTCCACCACCACCACCATAAGTTGGAGGGGGGAAGGATGAGGAGGACGAGGAGGAGGACGAAGAGGACGAAGAGAACGAAGAGGAGGAGGAAAACGATGAACGCCTCCCCCTCCAACTTATGGTGATGGTGGAAAACAGGCCCATCACAGTCGACCAGGACCCGAAGGCGGCCACATGGAGGAGCCCCGTGGTGAACACCGGCCTGCACCCGTGTCCCGAAGCTGCCGTCAACTTTCTGAGCTTCCTCCCTGTACAGTACAGGGAAGCTGGAAAAACTGGAAGTTGGAAAGTCAGTGAAAGTGGAAGTGGCTGGGGCTGGAAAAACTGGCAGTGGGTGAGGCGAGCCCGAAACAGTAGGGATGCTGTCGCCAAGGCTGGAACAAAAAACGGAAGCTGGCCAGGGCTGGAAAGAGTGGAAGGGCTGGCCCCAGTCACGTTTTCCAGCTGCCATGTAGGAGCTCGACCACAAGGAAACCCTCCACAAGAAACCCAACCCTGAGACCCCAGGACGTCCATTGATAGTTGGTGTGGGAGCGTCGTGCATAGCACAGCCATCGAAACCGAAGAAACCCAGGGCTCCCTGGAGGCAAGCAGGGTGTTTCTTGGCACGGGCTTTCACTGTATGAATGGCCTTCGTGTGTCGAACATGCCGCTTGGACCAACCTGCCTGCCTGCAGTGAAATCGCACCCGAGATTCGTTGCACTAGCCTGGAACTCGCCACCTATCTTGCCAAGTGCCGAAGAAATGAGCCTGGCCGAACTGACAGATTCTGCAAAAAAGGACCCGTCTATATTGCATTGCGCGGGTCGAGAACAATCTCGACGAGGAGCTGAAGCCCAATGGCTGCCACCACGATGTGCCGTGACAGCTGACACGTGATGGACAGGTCCTCCAAGTACTGTAAACATCGAAATAGACAGCCGCAGAGGAAAGGGTAGTGCGAACGAATGTATGGTAGCAGTTTGTCTGCCAACCGCACGAGCCCACTGGCTCTTACCTGCGCCCACGCCTTGGTTTGTGTGCACATGCTCACTGACTTGGCCACTCCAGTGGGCAGCGGAGGTCACCTCTGTGACCACTGTGCTGATCCTGCACTCGCTGGCTACCTGTAATTGCAAGCCGTTCCCCTACGCGCTTTCCCAACACACCCCGAATGATTGAAACGGAAACCGAAACATCCGCTGCAACCCGATGCAGGCCAGAGCAATCCAGCTCTGATTGTACACACAAGATGCAGAACGGGATGCAGACTACACAAGGGTGGTAACGACTAATACGCCCACACATGATACATAATGAACTACCTGAAATGATGCCGTGCTCGTGGCGGCAGTGGGCAACGCTACCGCCATGTGCCACGCGGCGCCCCTGCAGGAACCGTAAAGGCAATCCTGCCGAGTATCCTGGGCTGAAACCAAGGAAGAAGACAGAGGAGCAGGGGATTCAGGAGGGAAGGGAAACAGTTAGGCACGATGGAGAGAGAAGACAAGGAAGAAGCCGGAACAAGGGCGGAGGAGCGGGGAACACATGTGTTTTGTGTTGGGGCCGCGTTGGGGGGCTCTGGATGGCCATGGAAGGGGCTAGGCTATTCGAAAGGGTAGGGAGGAGGAGCTGTTCGAGGGGGTGGGGAGTGGGAGGAAGAGGGTACAGCACTTCCACTCTCCACCTCCATCCCTTCTCCTCCTGCCTCCAGCTCCGCCCTCATCCTTCCCCTCCTCTTGAAGCGCCTTCGCGCTCCCCTCGCTCATGCCCCGTCGCCCCTCCTCCATCCTCGACTCCTCGCGCTCCCCATCCCCCCGCCTCCCCCTTGCCGTCTTGGCCCAGGAGCTAGGGCGGCGGGGTCTGGACCTAGCCACTGCTCCAGGCCTGGCCCATCATGGGCCCGGGAGCGGTGTATATGCCTTCCTGAGGCCAGGATGTGCCAGGCCTGGAGGAGGAGGCGGAGGAGGAGGAGGAGGAGGAAGGGGGGGAGCAGAAGGAGGAGGAGGAGGAGGAGGAAGAGGAGGACGAGGAGGAGGAGGCGGAGGAGGAGGAAAAGGGGAGGGGGGAGGAGGAGGAGGACGAGGAGGAGGAGGAGGACGAGGAGGAGGAGGAGGAGGAGGAGAGGAGGAGGAGGAGGAGGAGAGGAGGAGGAGGAGGAGGAGGAGAGGCGGAGGAGGAGGAGGAGAAGGAGGAGGAGGAGGCGGACGAGGAGGAGGAGGAGGTCGAAATCCCGCCGCCCTGGGAGCCTGTCCGCCCCCAGCTGGGGCCGGCGGGGGCCCAGGCCGGCGCGGCGCTCCCCAGCGCGTGCGGCGGTGGTGCCGAGGCCTGCGGCCCGCACGGCGGGCCGCCGCCCGCCACGCGCGGCGGCGGCCGGGGCCGAGGCGCAGCGGAGCGCGGCCCCTTCGGGGAGTGCGCTGCAGCGGTGCCCCGAAGGCGGCAGCTGGCCGTCGCTCGGACGTCCATTCCCTGTGTTTTTTGTCGGTTTCGTGCGTGGCTGTTTCGCCAAATGATCGAGGATGCTCCTCGATGGTCCTCGCCGGAGGGAAAATGCACACGCCCGAGCGATGCCAAGGCAGCGGCAGCGGAGGCGGCGGTGAGGTCCCAGCGGTGGCCCGCGCGGGGCCGCCGCGCGCTCGGAGCTGGAGCTCGGCGAGGGCACGGGGGTGGTCGGGGACGTGCGCACGGCGGGCGGAACCGATCTTCCGACACTGGCGGGCACAGGAAGGAGGAGGAGGCCGAGGCAGAAGCGGGCAGGAGAAAGAGGAGGACGTCGCAGCGCCATGAGTATCGCGGCGGTGACGTCGACCTCAGGGAACAGCTGGGGACGGCCCTGTCAAGAGGCCATGAAGCAAATTCGCCATGGGAATCAGGATCGAGGGCACGAGCAATCACTGCGACGAGTGCCCACCGCGGGGCTCGTACATCGCCTCGCGGTTCGTCGGCAAGGGGTGGCGGTGCTCCAGGTGGGGTGCACCCATTGCGCAAGGACCGCATTCCTGTAGGCGACCACGAGCGGTTCCAAGACCAAAGGATGTTTGAATAACGAGAGCCATGTCCTAAGAACCTCAAGCCGCCAGACTAAAGCAAGACAGCCTCAGCCAGAAATGCTCAGAGAACGTGTCGTGCAAGCCAGAAAACGCTAATTATCATGACATGTTTCGGCTGGCCTAGAGGCAAGCCAGGACGCTTCGCTCCTGATTCACCAACGTTCTCTTCCAGGACTGATCACCACGGTGTCCTGGCCGTGTCGTCCGTTGGCTTCGGCTTTCGGCTGGGCGACCAAGGGTCGCCGCGCTGCGCCAGCGGGCTCGGCATGCAACCTGAATCCTGCGCTCCTCCTGGGGCGCGCGGGCTGGACGCGCTTGCTGCAATGCAGCGCGTGATGGCAACCGTGATGGCAACCGTAGAGCTGGCCGTGCTGAAAGCCAACCGCGGCGACGGCGCCCACCGACCCCGAATGCGTTGGGCGCGAATTAACCGAGAAGGGTCTTTAGTAACCCCCGCGGGCTTATTGACGGATTGCGACCCCAGCAATAGTTGGAAATTCAGTTTTCTTGGCGGCGGAGGCCTGAGAGGCCAAGAGAAGTGACCAAACATCTCAACGCCCAACGCCAGGTGGGAAGAAAGGTGCCCTTTCCGCGCCCTGCAGGCCACCTTTTTGGGCCCGAAAGGCTCCTTTTCGTCAGCCCTCGCTGCCCCCCCCATTGACCGCCCCCCCGATTACGCGGCATCCAAGTGCGCCGGCGCTGAACGGCCCACAGGCGCAAGCGGTGCGCCCCCCGCGAGGGCGGCGACGCGGCAGTGGCGGCCGCCGCGGCCGCTCGCGCGCAGCCTCCGCAGCCCGACGGACGCCCCGCGGCGGCGGAAGCGGCCGCAACCAACGCCCTCTTCGCTGGCACGGCGCGGCAGGTCGGGGACGTACTGACCTGGGTCAACGGAAACCGGGGCCGGTCAGACCTTGCAAGACCCTGAAGGATCCTGCAAGGTCCTGCACCGAAGCCTGGGTCACCGCACGCACCCCTGGCCCTGCAGGATACTGCAGGATCCGGCGCTCTGGCTGACGCTGAAGCCCCGTCGCTGAAGCCCCGCGAAGGCGTGGCATCCCCCGCGGTGCCGCCGCCGTGGACCTCCGAGACCTCCGCGGCGGGCTGCCCTCCTCCGAATCTTCGGGCCCCCGCGGCCGCCCGCCGACCTGGGCCCCCCCCCCGGGGGCCGGCTCTGGGCCCCGGCTGGGACCAGCAGTAGCGTTAAGTCGGGCCTGTCCCCCTACAGGGGGATTTTGGACGAAAAATTTAAAATAGTTTAAATACACCAAAAATGCTTGCATGGACCCCCCGTCGCTGAAGCCCCGCGAAGGCGTGGCATCCCAGGGGCCGGCCTGGGTAGCGTGCCTCCGCTGCGGTTGCTGGGCGCCGCCCTGGCCGCGGCCGGGCCCCGGCGAGCGCCGCCGCGCGCCGTCGCCCTGCTGCTGGCGCCGCCTGCCCGGGCGGGCAGCGCTGCAGCCAGAGGGGGCGAGGCGCTGCGGCGGCGCCTCGCAACGCGCCCAGGCGCGCATGATTGAGTCGGGTGCGTTTCCCCCTCCTCCTCCTCCTCCTCCTCCTCCTCCTTCTCCTCCTCTCTGCCACAAGGCGCCCTGCGGAGAAAACAACAAATGTGCTCTGTCTCGCGGGGTCCCGTTCCCCGCTCCCTCCTTCTCCTCCTCCTCCCCCTCCTCCTCCTCCTCCTCCTGCTTCTCCTCCTCCTCCTCCTCCTCCTCCTGCTTCTCCTCCGCCTCCTCCTCCTTTTCCTCCTCCTCCTCCTTCTCCTCCTTCTCCTCCTCCTCCTCCTCCTCCTCACCCTCCTCCTCAACCTTACCCCACTCGTGTTATGCTGCTCCCATCGTGCTCAAGGACCAAATCTCATAAAGAATTCCGAACACCCGAAATGTATCATAAAACAGTGTCGAAGGAGTATCGCCTCCCAGGGCCCGTCACGAGAAAACCCTCAAGTTTCGGTACTTTCGTGGTACTCGAGATTCTTCCTGGTGATCAAGGTGAGCGTTTTTTTATATTTATAAAAAACATCGGCGTTTCGACATTGGGCGGAAAGGGAGGGAATGGGGGTCTGGCCCTTATGCTCATGGCGGTTTGTCTGATTGACTGTACGTGTATGTTTCTTCGGATTGGGCTTGTGCACGCGACGTGCCTGCCAAAATTTGGTCTTAGAGAAACCCGGCCTGAACGTAGCGAAACAAAATGCAGATGAGCAAAGCATGCACGATCGAAGTTGGCGGGGTGCCGGAGCTTACGGCGCGACCAGACCTTGCTGTATTTTCCCGCCTGCCCCCCGTGGGCATACAGGCCTGACCTGACCTGACCTTCTTCGGATTGGGTGCTTCCACGCGTTGGAGAACTGGGCCCCCCTCCCCCGCGCCGCGCCGCCTGGGCCCTGTGGCGCTCGATCGCCACGCTCGCGCGCGGCCCCCCGACCATGATCACAGGGTCGATCTCGGCCTGCGGTGGCGCGCCGAGGCCACGGCAGTCCACGGTGGACCGCACACAGCCGTTGGCCCGGCAGCCGCGGGTCGTCCTCTGCCGTCGCCGCCCGCCGCCGACCGCCGCCGTCCGTCGCAGTCCGTTGTCCGTCGTCGCCGTCGCCCGCCGTCGCCGCCGTGGCCGTCCGCCGTCGTCCGCCGTGACATTCGCCTTCTGCCCTCTGTGTTATGCAGTGGCATGGTGGGTCGCGGGGCAAGAAAAAAAGGATTGATCTTGAAGCTGGTGGTAGCAGTAGAGGGGAAAGCGCCCATGCTGAATCTCCGCGAATCGCACAGCCCAACAATGATAGAACTCATCTAAAATGGTAGAATGGGAAACATCAGGGCACAGCACACGTGCTGAGGTCGCCTTCATACGCTCGGACAGCGTCCCCATGGCGGCGACCTCGTGATCCAGGAAGCCAGCAGCCCAGGCGTTGGCGATGCAGCAGTCCACGCACTCCTCGGGCCCCCACACCCCTCTCCCTGCCTGCCACACGCAGTCACCCAACAGCACGGCGAGCGCTTGAGGACATCGTCCTGACAAAGAAACCTTCGAACGGAACGCTTCATGGGGCACTGAGGGTTTCTTTGGGGTCGGGGGGCATTGAGACACAACCATTACCGATGCTCCCCAGACCGCTCCCAGGTCGAGTTTTCAGAAGATCCTGGCCGCGAAGACGAAGGCACTCCAGCAGGCACAAGCGGGCCAAAACGAGGAATGCGATCCCCAGGAGGCTCCCAAAGGACCCCAAAGTCTTCTGGAGGCGCCCAGAGGCGAAAACGATGGGACTAGATGCTCGTATACGTCACTCCCCGCCCGAAAACACCGTGGCATCGTTTCTGCATGGGCTGGTGGGGATACGCGACGCACCAAGATTTGTAGGTCAGAGTGCTAGACGCTGCGCTGAAGCTCGTGAGACCAGTGCGTCGCAGCAGTGATCGCACTGGTTGCCCCTAGATCGTAGTAGTGAGAGTAATGGTAGTAACAGTAAACTCACTAGTAATACTCAAGTTGCGATACAAGTGTTAGCAGTAGTAAGAGCAAGCGTCGATGTAGCGTTACTATGCGTAGCGGATATGGAGCTACTATTGGTAGTAGCCGTAGTAGTAGTAGTAGTAGTAGTAGTAGTAGTAGTAGTAGTAGTAGTAGTGGTAGTAGTAGTAGTAGTAGTAGTAGTAGTAGTCGTCGTAGTAGTCGAAATAGTAGTAGTAGTAGTAGTAGTAGTAGTAGTAGTAGTAGTAGTAGTAGTAGTCGTAGTAGCAGTAGTAGTAGTAGTAGTGGTGGTGGTAGTAGTAGTAGTAGTAGTAGTAGTAGTCGTAGTAGTAGTAGTAGTAGTAGTAGTAGTAGTAGTGGTAGTAGCGGTGGTAGTAGTAGTAGCAGTAATAGTAGTCGCGGTAGGAGTAACCGTAGTAGTAGACGTCTTAGTAGTAGGAGTAATCGTGTTAGTAGTAGTAGTAGTCGTCGTCGTCGTAGTAGTAATATTAGTAGCAGTAGTAGCAGTAGTAGCGATCTGAACAGTCGTAGTAGTCGTAATAGAAGTAGCAGTAGCAGTATCAGTAGTAGCAGTAGCCGTAGCAATGGAAGTAGTAGTAGTAGTAGTAGTAGTCGTAGTAGTAGTAGTAGTAGTAGTAGTAGTAGTAGTAGTCGTAGGTAGTAGGTAGTAGGTAGTAGGTAGTAGGCCGTAGGCAGCAGGAAGTAGGTAGTAGGTGGTAGTAGTAGTAGTAGTAGTAGTAATGATATTAATAGTAGTAGTAGTAGCAACAGATAGTAGGTAGTAGTAGTGGTAGTAGTGGTCGTAGTAGTAGTAGTAGTAGTAGTAGTAGTAGTAGCAGTAGTAGTAGTAGTAGTATAGTAGCACTAGTGATAGTAGCATTACTAGTAGTAGTAGTAGTAGTAGTAGTAGTAGTAGTAGTAGTAGTAGTAGTAGTAGTAGTGGCAGTAGTAGTAGTAGTAGTAATACTAGTGGAACCCATCGTCGAGATCGTAATACTACTCGTAGTAGTAGCAGTCGTAGAAAGGGTAGTAGTAGCAGTAGCGGTTGTCATAGTGGTAGTAATAATCGAAGTCCTAGTGGCAACACTAGTCGAAGCAGTCGTAGAAGCAAGCGCTGCAATAGTGGTAGTAGTAGTAGTAGTAGCAGTAGTAGTCGTATAGCACAAGCAGTAGCAATCTTGTAGTAGTCGTACTCGTAGTAGTGGTAATCATATCAATAGTAGTCGTACTCGGAAAAGAAGTAGCAGTAGTAGTAATAGCAGCAGCCGTAGTAGTACTGAGGGTAGTTGTAGTGGCAGCAATCGTAGTACTAGTAGTACTAGTGGCATCTGTAGTCGCAGCAGTAATCACAATCGCAGGGATACCAGTAGGGGAAGCCGCGGGAGTAGTAGCAATAACACTCGCAAGCGCAGTGGCACCCGTAGAAGTAGCAGTGGCTGTAGCATTAGCAATGGTAGTGATACTAGTACAAATAGTGTTAGTAGTAGAAACAATAATAGAAGCAGTCGTACTCGTAATAGCAAGAGTCGTAGTCGTAGTAGTAGTAGTAGTAGTAGTAGTAGTAGTAGTAGTAGTAGTGGTAGTGAGAGTAGTAGTGGTAGTATTCGTGGTGCCAGTCGTAGTAGAAGCAGTAGTGGTAGTATCGATAGTAGTGGAATAATAGCATTAGGGAGGTGTAGGAGTAGTAGTAGCACTCGTAATAGTAGTCACAGTCGTTATAATAATAGTAGTAGTAGTAGTAGTAGTGGTAGTAGTAGTAGTAGCCGTAGTGGTAATCGTAGTAGTGGTAATAATAGTAGTGGTGGCCGTAGAAGTAGTGGTAGACGTAGAAGTAGTCGCTGTCAAAGTAGTAGTCGTAGTAGTACTTGTACAAGTAGCTGTTGTTGCGGTACGAGTGCTCGAGGCAGTAGTAGTAGTGTAGTTGCGGTGGTAGTAGTATTACTAATAATAGTAGTCGTCGCAGTAATACAGAGAATCTGAAATCGTTGTCGTCGTAGTCGTAAGTAGTAGTAAACGTAAGATCACCAGTAAAATCAGTTGAAACAGAAGTAGTAGCTGTAGTAGTCGTAGACATAGCGTTCGTATAGTACTAGTAGTAAAAGGAGTAGTAGTAGTAGTGATAGTAGTCGTAGAAATAACTGTTACAATAATTGTGATAGGAAACGTGGTAATAGTTTTCAGTCGTAGTCGTAGTCGCAGTCGTACTGGTAGAACTAGTCGTAGCATCAATGATAGTGGTAGTCGTAGTCGTACTCGTAGTAGTAGAAGTAGTAGTAGTAGTAGTAGTAGTAGTAGTAGCAGTAGTAGTGGTGGTCGTAGTAGTAGTAGTAGTAGTAGTAGTAGTAGTCGTAGTAATAGTAGTCGTCGTCGTAGTCCTAGTCGTAGACACAGTCGTCGATATCAGCATTGCAGTTATTAAACAAGCTGGTAGTTTTAAGACTGGTAGAAGTAGTACAGCAATCGCCCATCATGCTCTCGTCGAAACCTCCCTCTTGCCCTTGTCATAGTCAGCCTCATTTGGTCTCCATACTCCTTATTTATCACACCCTCCTCTTTACCTTGCTCGCCCCGCCCTTCAAACTGCACTTACTCCACCATCCTGTCCCTAATGCTGCAACAGCTTCTCAACCCCGACACAAATTAAGCAGTGAGCGACCATCCCAGCATTGCGACATGCCTGCCACGAAATGCTTTCAGACCGAGATAATGTTATGAACATAACACCCATGTCGTCATAACATAACGCGGACGTGTTAAAAACAAGACAGTCTCACCCAGAAATGTCATGAGAGCATGTCGTGCAAACCATTTCGCGCAAACCAAAACAAATATTTGAACTCTGTGTGGTGGGCCCTAAGGCAAGCCAGGACTCTGGGGTGTCAATGCTGGGGCAGCCTCGGCAACACACGGGCAGAAGGGATACACGGGAGGAGGCCAAGACTGCCACAGGTAGCCCGAATTAAGTGCTACGTCATCACTGCTGGTGTTCTGGATCCCTGGTCCTTGACGTTGTCAACAAAAATGCACTCCGACGCGCCGCGGCTGAGCGCCTCGATCCCGAGGGAGCCGGTGCCGGCGTAGAGGTCCAGTATGCGCACCTGGGCTGGCAGCGCGGTCGCCATTTTCGGCGGCCCACCTGGGGAAAGGCTTAGGGGGCCGGCCTTCTCAGAACTTGGCGGGGCTTCTCAGAAGACCTCGGGCTTTCTGAGAAACTGGGGCAACTCTCGGGAGGTCGTGGGAGCGAATTAAGAAGCGCTGACCTCGATCGAGGGCCCGTCAGCCGGAACCAGCCAGATTCACCAAAAAGTGTGAGGCCAGATTGAGCGGGCCCAAGCGGGCCGAACGGGATTCGGCCGGATTTCACCGTACCAGGGGCGTAATGGGGCCGATGTTCGATTCAACATCCCAGGAACTGCAGCCCGAGAAAGGCCTCTGCCGATGCCTCCGAGTGGCTTAGCGGGCGAAGCATGGTTTCGATGTCGGCGTGCAACGCTGTAAGCGGCATGACGTAAATATCTAGAGTGCATAGCACTACCCGAGGACCGAGGAGGCGGAAAGAATGACAAGCATGTCCAGCACTGAGAGATGTCAAGAAGCTTTGCTTCAAAAGGTCATCCAAATGTCAAGGCTGGTTTTTTATTGTAGCTCATGATCCCCCTTCCTGGGTTTGGGGGTGGGGCCCTCGCATACCCTGAACTACGTACATACCAGACTCTTGCATATCCTTATCCGACTCCACCTCACGACCTCCGATCCCCCCTCATTTCATTATCATATTTACCGTCTCTTCCGTTTTTATGTAAACGCCCCGATGTACTTCTGCTGATACTTCCGACTAACCTCTGGAGCCCAGCAGCGAACCAACCGAGCGATCCCCTCCACAAAAACCAATGCCAATTGCCAAGGAAACGAAGATTAACCTGGTCTCTCCACGCTCCCCCTCCCCCTTCCACCTCCCCCTCCATCCCTCGCCTCCTCTTCTGCTCCTCCTCGTCCTCGCCCTACGAGGAGGGAAGAGGCGGCAAGGGCGGGGAGGAGTGCTAAGAATAATTGGAGGATGGGGGGGGGGGGCACAAGAGGCGGAGGGCGGGGAGGGGGGATGAGGACGCGGATGAGCAGGAGGAGGAGGACGACTGGGAGGAGAGAGGATAGGGAAGAAGACAAGCGATGTGCGCTCGCGCCATATCTGACATCCTACCCCTTCCACCCTTCCCATGGCGCTGACATCCTCAATCAGCAGGCGGCTGACACAGCGGACCTGGAACCCCCGAAAAGGACACCATCATGTTATGCACAACCAGAAAAAGGGAACTGTGTACAACTGAGCTGAAGGATGAGCAGGAGGAAGAACGGAATATTAGGAACGAGGAGGACGAGGAGGACCAGCAGCACCAAGCGCAGAAATGACTCAGATTAGAAGAAGCGGGAGGAGGAGGATGAGGACCACTGGAAGGCGGATAGGAGGGAATGATCGGGGAGAAAATGATGAGGAAGGACTCCGATTGAGAAACGTGGCCCGCGTTGGGGCGAACGCACCATTCTGAACGACGGGAGCAAACTGGCGATCCGAACATGAGGCCCTCGCTGCAGCGGGAACTCCACTTTGGAAAGACCGAAACGTCTGGTGCGAACCAAACTTTAAGACAAACCAGAGTGTACCAATCCTGTGTAGACAAAATACGTGGAGGGGCGAACGACTCTCAGCATGTCCTCGGGGAGAAAAGAAAGTAGTATGCATGGTGAGTGCCGAGGAATAGGATGACAAGGTAGGACAACGGGTAAAAGCAGAGTGGACGAATGTTGCTACCCGCCACGAACTAAAACTACAGTCGCTGCGCGAAGGCCTGATGACGAATATCGCCATCAAGCAATATGACCGCGACGGGGACGAACGAGCTGTGAAAGCAGCGCCGAGCACGCCAGAGCTGACGGCGGTGGATGATGAGCAGGGTCGGAGGCCGTGAGGAGACGAGAGAGAAACCCTGCCATGTCACATGGCACGCACGCGCGCGTGGACACAACAAACACAACCACCAAGCGGAACGGTTATGAAACAATTGACATGGTCCAACGTATGACCCCATTCCTCCTCCAACGCCGCCTCTTCCCTCCTGCTCCGTTCCTCCTCCATCCTCCTCCGCGTCTTCAATCCTCTTTATCCTCCTCCTCCTCCTCCGCCTCATCCTCCCCCCTCTCATCTCCCCCCCTCTTCTCTCTCTCCCTCCGTCCACCTCCCTCTCGTTTCTTACATTCCCCCCTCCCTCTACCCATCCCCCGCCCAAGTGGCCGAGTGCCAACGTCACAGCGATCGTTCCTGAATGAGTTCTCACGCTTGTCTGTCTGCCTGGAGCCATCTGTCGACGACTTTAGCCGATGCCAGCCACGCTGCCTGATGTGAAAGAGGGAGGGAGTGCGTTGGTAAGCGGGGTGAGGAAATTATGGGAAGGAGTTGATCCTTCGCTAGCCTCTGTGACGACGCGTCCCGTCGGTGTTGTCACAGAAGTTGCGTCGCTCTGCTCTTGGAGCTGCGTTCTTGGCGCCCGTGCCGAATCTCAACAAGTGTATTGTGTTCCTCATGCAGCGCCTGCTGTAAACTGCTTGGGGTCCAACTCCGACTTCGTT